TTGAGAACAGTGAAATTAAAATCTATATATTTTCACACGGCTAATGAATTTCTTAAGGTTAATTAGTTTTTATAATCTGGAATAAAAAAATCGTTGATTTTAATGTTTTATCAATCTCTATGATTCTGCATCTTCCGTCAAGGGATAGTGTTATCCATACCAATATTTCAAAGCAAACTTCTCTACAACATGGACACTATTGTACCACTAATGGTAGTTGCATCAACTACTCGGGCTTGCATAATCTAATACATGACCATAAGCAGTATTTGTTTAAAAGTCTCTATGGGACGAATAAAAAGGGAATCAGTCGCTCTACGCTTCTGTCTCAAACACAAATGGTGCCCAAATACAACTTTGTTGCGTCTATCTTAACGTTCTGTCAGCCTTATTTTCTCAAAACAACAATTGCTCTCCGAAGCACCGTCTTCCAGATAGGAAGGCTATCAATAGTTACCTATCTGGAAACCTTAGTTTCGTTACGTTCAATCTCATATGACTGGCTAAAACCTTAGAATTCTATCATAGTACTCTAAACAAACTCATTCACTTCGTCATTGTAGCGTCAAATCATAGTAACATTGTGAATCTAATGGCGATGCATACTTTTCGCTTTGACTTCTTACCATAGCTATAGAATCACGAGTTTCAGTAGGTTCTCTAGCTAAATTTATTCTTTCTACTGTTTTAATATTTGATTAAGTAGTGTGAATGCCTATAAAATAACATTTTCTTTTTATCCGGACCACCTCTGTGTCTATATTTTTAGTAACAGCAAAATACTTTGTGAAATCCTACTTCGTGTTATAGCAACGCAAAATAATTGATTGAAATCAATGTTTTACGTGTAATACATAGGCGTAATACAACAAGTGAATATTATTATGAGATAGGTCACATTTTGCCATATTATGTCGATCGACAAGATGTGACTATTTTTAAAGTACGAGAATACATGCGCTTTGTTTCTGAATACCATAATAGCTTTATTTGATGTAATCTGGAATATTTAGCTTGACTCTTATAGAACGAATAATTCGTCAATCTACCTATTGATTGAATTATTACTTGGTCCCTTCCTGGTTTGAATTGCGTGCTGTTGAGGTGGTTTGGCAGTCCTCTTCAGTTTTATTATCAATAGGAAATACACTATCGCACTGGTTTTTGTAATTGATTCTTGGTTTTTCATTGGGAAATAGCGAATCAGTAGTGCCTGGGTTGTTGAACATTGTGAAGTATTCTCGGAAGGCGGTATTTCGTAGTCAGATAAAGTATATTGGCTCCGAAATACTACCAATGACACGAATTAAGTTGGTGTAACTGAAATTAAACCAAACCATTAGTCGGTTACTTGATCACAACTTCTCTGATCATATAACTGATTATTTTACTGAGTAATTGGATCAAAACTGTGTTAACTACAGGGTAGAATAGGTAGTAATAATAATATCTTGGCATCCCATTTGAAGTCCTTGTTGGGCTTAATGAAATATAAGTGCGAGATTCCGTAAAATGCTGTTTACTTAATTACGTTTACCATAAGAATGTTCCAGAGTTTGAGTGAGACTTATCCATAGGTAGGCATGTACAGGACGGTAAGAATAACAGAACTACCTGTATCACAAAAATTACTATTTTATTGATCTTCATATATATATATATATATATATATATATATATATATATATATATATATATATATATATATATGTATATATATATATATATATACGATGGAATTAGACATGTAACTGAGCAAATCAGTTGCTCTCTTTGTTAGTTATGACTACTATTCTCATGATATTAGGAGATGATTTTCCACGATAAATTATGGAATAAACAGTATGACGATCGTTTGCATCCTAAAAAAATTTAGTCATGGATTAAACAATGGTCAGAAAACTAAGTTATAACTATTCGAATCTAATTGTTAATTAATGTTAAGCAATCTTACTCACAAATGAGTATATTGAGATATTATTTCTGATCTAGCGTTTGAGTGATATAAATCTTTACCTACTGTCATTGCTTTTGTTCTCGAGTTGAGTTATAGTTCATCTGTGTGTGGTATGTTAAGGGAGAAGTATTGGTTCGCTGTTAATCCGATAAAAACTTGATAATGCATATAGTTGGTACTTAGTAACGGTATCAGAAAAAAGGAGTCAATCCCTTCACCTTTCGACAGTAGACCTGAGGCTTTCCTGTTATGTCTGCAAAATGTACTGTTAGTAGACCTTTGTATAATTTCCATAAAATAAAGAAAATTGTCCTATTCACTAACCAGTCAAATGAAAGAACATTCAATGTCTGTAATTGTTATCTATCATTATAGGATTATAGTACATTGATTTCTTTGCATGTAAAATAATAAATCAAGGCTCTATTGTCTGCTAAACATTGGCGGTTTCTAAACACTTCTGTTTTACTTTTTAAAAACAATAATTTAGTGATATAACGCCAAGTATTCCCCGTTTTTAACGACACAATACGACCAGGTGCGAGATTTGTACCACTACTAGGATAAATACGTGATCAATACACAAAGTGGTTCACGTTACATCAGACACACGATTCAGGACTAGAATATAGAACCAGATTATAGACTAGACAATTCTTTATTCGATACAACTCTAAGCAGTCAACATTCAGTCAGCCGAGAGTAGAAACCAATGATTGGAAGGAATTCACAAATTAAATATTCAGTAACTTTTGCCCGTCAGGTCACACACAAAGACCAATCACATTTACTTTCACTAACCAAACATCAGTTATCCCGTGATATTTATGGAAAGATAACAACCGTTAGCTAGCTTGCATTCATCTGCTCTGGCAATATCACACCATAATTTTATTCTGAGGACCTATCTGCAACCTTCAGTCTCTTGTATATTCTATACATTCAGATCGTTTTGATGACTCATTTATAATTATATTTAATACATCCATATAAACGGAATTTCGTGAATCTAACTAGCTACGCACATGTATAGTAACAAACAAAACTTATTTATTCTACTAATTATTTCACGTGAATACGATTGTACGTACAGCTCTCAAAGATAAAACCAGAAAGGACATATCTTACATAACAAACTAGTCTTTTTTATTTTGGATAAGTGAAAACAAGTATTCTATAGAAAATTTTACAGAAAATGTTCCTCGTTGAATAGTAGTGTGCATACCAGGCTTGACTGTCTACGTTGACGTACGATACACATTAGTTTCATTACAATAATGGTTAACCTGGGTGACATGGCTCAGAACCGATCACAATGGTGTCGGTGTGTACACTCTTTGTCTTCTCTTAAACCGTGAGATTAATATTGCTTCATATCCTTCTTTCTACGAACTAACTCTTTTTTCCTGATGTCATTTCTATGGGGCCTTTCTCATTTATTATAAATTCCTTGTTAATTGTGGACGGTATTTTTAAGTAGTGCATACAAAAATGTCAGTTTTCGGAAAACTGGATTCAAATTCAAAAGTATCGTGCTCGCCAAGAGACCTGAGGGTCTTCGAAAATCTGTGAGATAATTGCTCATGTTTTAGTTATTACAAATTTACATGGTAATTGCATAAAGTTACCACCGTTAAATATTTTAAACATATGTGAGTCAGAAAGTATAGGCTGGTTGACTTGAAGTTCATATCAGATATTTTTAGGAATTCAGTTTAGTACGGAGTACCATAAATTATTATCAAGTTAAGTCATGGAAATCTAAGCACGTCTCATAGCTAAATTGCGTGAAGCAGTAAGGTACGCTAGAGAACGGTGAAATCTTATTCAATTGCAATTTTAACTGATCGTTCAAACGAAAAAGACTCATCATAAAAAATGGAGACATTAAATTAGGACTCATGTATTAACTGTCAAACTTACGAGGATTAAGTTTCAGAGCCTGCAATGTTCGGTATACCAGAGAATATCTTGTTCGGATAGTAGATTGTAATCTCATTTTCGGTATCAATATAATTAAGTAACTTAATCTTATGATACGCTTCGCTATGCAAATTGAGACATTTTCTTTTAAAATCGTGAGCACTAAATATTATTGTTGTTACGATCTTTAATGTATTAGTTGTTTTAAGGTTGCACGTGTTAGAAAAAAGAGGCCCATCAGTGCGAACTGCTTTAAACCCTGTTGAATACTACACACTCTAAACCCCCTACACTAATTATACGACAAAGGCATGAAACCAAGTGCTTCTGAGAGGATTGTTTCATCGAAGTCAAGACAACAGATAGTAATGGTAAGAAACTATGTGATATGATTTAATATCAACAGTAGTGCAGGAAAACAACACACTACTTACTAGTGAGTATGCACTGACTACAAACATTTATATAACCATGTCTTATTCCATCTTTTGTCACCTACCGGTAATACTACTCCCAAATTCTCGGCTTTCCATAGTTGAAAGGTTATGAGTTATGGCGGTTAACCACATATGAATTAGTTAATATGTGGTTACAATTCATTTGCTAATTTTTTCTCGTATAAGCACTTGGTGGTATGTGACAACCGGGACTAGAAAGCTTTTACTCCAGGTTTCATTCTTTGTTTACATTTGTGTTTAAAGTAGATCAGTGGCCGAAAATACTATTTGTATAACAGAAATTCCTTTTGATTTAATGATAAATTTTAGTACTTATGGAGTAATAAGAGATTTGAACAAGCTGACCTGAATAACATTCCAGGCTTAGTAGAATAGAAAATATGAATATATCATGTTGGTAGGTATAAGAAAGGTTTCGTGGAATAAAATAAAAACAAACTTACATCTGACATACATAGGCCTTACCATTTAGTATCCATAAAACTTAAATAAGTGGAACGTTTTGATGATAACAAGTTGTTCCGTTTTTACATTAGTCCACTTAGCAAAAAGAGCTGTTCCCCGAATCGTATGAACAAATTGGGATTGTGGTAGCTGGCTACATATTACTTGAAGGTTTCTATCAAGATTGTTAAAACATGGATCTATACTAACGTGTACAAATTTCACTTTCAATTCATGAGTGAATGTACAGAATAAAGTATAGTATCGGGTATTTCTAGAGAAGACGCAAAACATTTCGGGCAGGTATTATTTTATAACGTAATTGTGGAGTATAAATTTAAGTAATCCGTTTAAATTACAATTATAGTTATTAGGAAATATATGTACATCAATAAGGTTTAATATAGATTAGTTTTCTTCATGACCCGAAGAAACTCTTGTTCGTTGACTTCACCATCACCATCGCGATCAGCCTCATCAATCATTTCCTATGAGTTACATAACAGTTTTCTTGACTACTTACTTGCAACTCCTCGTCAGTAAGATTTTCACCAAGTTCTTTTGCCACACGCTTAAGGTTTTTAAACGATATTTTCCCAGTTTCATCATCGTCAAAAAGGCGGAAAGCTTTTAGCATCTCTTCTTTTGCATCTTTGTCTTGCATTTTTACAGCCATCATTCTCAGAAAGTCCGAGAACTCAATAGAATCTAACGGATGAAATTTTTGGTTACGTGAATTATCATGCCTTTGTTGTCGCAATCGAATTCTGTCAAAAGTTTTCTCACTTCTTCTTTTTTTGGTTCGAAACCAAGGGCCCGCATAGCAACTTTCAACTCTTTGATATCGATTGTTCCTGACTTATCAGTGTCGAAAAGGTCAAATGCTTCGCGGATTTCTTGTTTTTGATCTTCTGTAAGTTCATGTTTAACACCACGACCCGTGATCTCCTTCTTCTTTTCCGATGGCTGCTGAGACGGTCTTTTTGTAACTGTGGACTGTTATATTCAGGAATATATATTCAACCAACCCACCATATAAGCACAATCAAATCATTCACTGCTTTCCCAAATAATCAATATCAACACTACATAGCTAGTTTAAAGAAATACAGAGGAAATTTTCGTTAAATGTCGTAGGTTAATAAAATCACTCAGAAGCTGCAGTTTTTATCTTAACTACATTAAATACTATCGTGAAGGTAAATAAGTAACCGGTATAGCAGTGTCATGGGAAAAGCAGGAAGCTATAGCTACATCTCAACATGCAGTTACATACATATACGAAAAGAATTTAAGTGGTTGGAATCCAACGACTAATTGTACAGGAATAAGTGTAATATAACTAGTAATTTTTCGACGGTGCATGCAACAGTTACGTAATTATTCAGTCTAGTATCAGCATCCACAGGGGCTTGAAACAGTCGGCCACATGAAGTCCCTATATTATCACAAATATGACTGTGTCCATTATACTTTTAATGCATATGGGATCGCTAAAAACGAGTTAAATAAATCAAGTAAAAAAGCTTGGTAATTATCATTGGACATTATGCATTTCCAGAACTAGTTGAAACACAGTGTATATCATTAAACTTTGTATGTGACCCAAGTAAAAATCTTTTGGAAGAGGTTTACAGGCTACTGGTGACGACTGTTCTACACGACTCAACCCGTGTGTGAATAAAGTTTAATTACCGGTTTCAGTAATTGCTGGAGTTATATAGAAATATGTTACTTCTTTACTAACCAGTCTTTACACGAAATTCAATAATCTAGCCATCCGCTCCATTTTGGTGATTAGGCTCTTTCGTTTACTTCCTGTAGTTTGAAAACTGGCTTAAGGTATTGTAGGGTCAGCAAAATGTCACTAAGCCCTAGCCAAATCATACGGCAGCTGGGTCATTGAATATCGAGTAAATCATCGATCCTCGTCAGGGTCAGGGACAACCAACGCGCATCAGTTAGTCGTATGCCATGGACTGGCCCATGTGCCAGTGGTCTTACTTTCGCTTGTATCTACTTTAACTAATACATTTCCGTAATAACGTCCTCTGTGTTGTACAGTCTCCAAAGTATCTATGGTACTGTGATACGTCAATAGGGTAATCCACGTAAGGTGCTGACCACGAGGTGTGACTTCGACGTTAGCTAGTTTGTCACACCATTCACGTCTAACTCGAGTAGGCCTCCAATCATTTTCGACATAGATCATCTACGTTGGTGATCTACAGTATAATGCAAAGCTTACTTTACGATGCGGTGGAAATCTGATGTAGAAGATTATCGGTTACGCAATTATTTTTTATAAACGGGTGTTCTTGAAACTTAAGTGAGCCAGATTAAAAATATCAATACCTATCAAACATGGCTGTTTTTGTTCACAGACCGGTACTTGTAGTAAAACTCAGGTCAAACTCTGTTCTAAAAATATTGCTTATGAACTTGAGCTGGCATGTCATAGTAGATAAGGCTAATTTCTCAATGAAATAAACTCGACAGCGACCACCAGTGTGAATAATCTCAAGCAAGCCCACGCTTGTTTGGCGAGACTTCCATGGAGTAGACATTTGTCCATATTAGCCTCTGTATTTCTGAGTTGGTCAAAACTTCAAGACCCCTCCGAATTGTAGTTATGCCGCATTTATTTGTGCACTCTACTGTTAGTATGGCTCGAAATCACGAACTCTAGGTGTCTCAGCAGTTCCGCACCAAGTATTCTTTGGTGGCGCTCCATTTAGTTCAAGTCTATGAAACGACGATGTATGAGAGTGATTTACAGATAAAATAACGTGGGAAAGAGTGCAAGATAGTTAAAAAATGGGACTAACAGAGTTAAATTAAATGCAAAATAGGCAAAAATGCTTGACAATACTTGCCCTAATAAATGCATTTGCCAGTTAAAAAACTACTCAGTACGATCATTTTATAAGATAAATAAAGAAGTTTCCGATCAAAAAGTAACAACACCGAAATGAGCAGCTCGATCAGATAGCAGGAGTAAATCCTTTGATAAGATGAGCGTATAATCTCAGCTCAGTTAGCTTTTAACCAACACCAATTGCTTAATTAAACGTATAGAGTCAACTAATCAATCAGCAATTTGAAATCGAATGTCATTTCTGTCTTACCGTGTTGCGAATGTGACAATATTCTCTTCAAAGCAAACAGGACGAAGGATTTCGTTTTGTCCTAAAAGTAAGAAGTTAATATGTAAGAAAATAGTCACGAAGAATTATCGTCTGCTTTGTTATTAGTACTGCTTTAATAATAGACCTAATGCTAATATTGTAGAATTGTCACGATGTAATCGCCTAATCTATAAGATCTTACGTGGAAGTCACATCATTGTCTACACTGACTCATTGTATCGTAAAAATCACCAATATATGATGGGAAACACATATAGGCTGGAGACAGAACAATATGTATTAAATATGAACAAAAGTCTTTTCAGTAATTGCGTGTTTGGCTCCAAAGGTCGTGTGGCTAGTGTGTAGTGCCACTACAGTTATGCAAGGAATGTAAGAGTTAACTCCTCAATGGTCAACAGAAATAAACGATTTCAGAAGCAGGAATCACGCCTCGTTCTCAGTATGATAGACCATAGGCAATCGATACACACTAGAACAACCAAAGAATAGTATTCCAGTACAGAAACCACCGAAAAGCCAAAGTGAAGCGGTCATCAAACCTTTAGGAACCTCAAGGAGTTCATCACTTACACGATTTGCGGTCAACATAACGACCTAATAGCTGAGAATGAACTAAAAAGTAAGAACATAGCATGTGTGGATACAAAGAGTGATAAAAGTAACTCTACATATGCAGAAAAAGAGAAAAAAATGCCATCATACGGAATTAGTGGATAGGTGGTTTTATGCATATGTAAAAGAACGTACATATAAGAAGGATCTTACAGTCAGCTCATACTTTGAAAGTAACAGGACATCCTAGCTTAGGGATTTCTAAAATAGCTTAAATGCATTAATTAGTTGAAATGTTGCCGAAAAAATTATCACAGCTTTCACCAAATTATCAGTGTTTAATTGAGTTTACTGAAACTGCCTAACCTAAAATCCTAGCTTCACCATATGGTTAAATGGTGGATTATAACTTTTTAGCTCATACCATCCCATACTGTTTAGCTACCCTCTACTCTTGCACATCTCAACGTGGTGACTGGTGTATCCTTTCCTTATCATTTAATTTATATAACAGGAAAACCCCACCGGTTTAAAGTCCATTCAGAAAGATAAACTAAATGTATCACAATCAAGATAACGTCAATCAGGCTCTTACAAAGTCTACACAGTCTGTCCACCAACTAAAGTTAGCCATAGTCAAACCTGGCTAATAGACGCAAACATCACAAAGCTCAATGATCATCTTCCGTTCTAATATCATGTTCAAGGAATAATAACCGAACTAGGTTTATTAGTCCAATTACTCTGCACCTTAATTATCAGATGCAACAACGTGTCAAAGTATTTTGACAGGGTTTTATGACAAGATTTTCCATAAATTGTCTATCTGTAAATAGTTTTCTCGATTTCGCTTTTATCAGTGTCATTATATTGTCTTCTATTCGGTGTTTACAGTAATGCATCTCACCACTGAATTGAGAGACAGGATCTCTCCAGAAACTTGTTTTATTTCCAGAATATCCTTCAGAATCATTTTTACTTAAATTTTACTCACACAGTATGTGCGAAAGACATCGTAAAAATATTTTCTAGATTAAGAACATTGAGTTAGGCCGTTAATTAGTTGTGAAGCAAGGCGGAAAAAATATATATATATACGGTGAATAGTGTTTTAATGTTTAACTTTTTGGAAAAATTAATAAAAAACTTATATTTAGTACTACACTAATAAGCTTTCCTTTTCTTCGGGTCAATATCCACATCTACTTATTTTATCCTTTGCGTCGTGCAAAAGGTCTGACTTTTGATATCCGTCCCCTGTGTATTTTCGTTTTCAGAACAGGTTTCACTTCTGAGCCATGGACACCGAAAATCCATTAAAGCCCGCTGAATGTTATCTCTACTTGTAATAAGGAGTTACCTATACCCGTTTTGCTTTTAGATATGTCAGGTATGATAAACAGCCAGACCAGGCAACATCATGTAAGCTAAAAAAGCATTCGTCACGATAAATCTGAGCCAATTCCATCAGATTGATTTTTACGAAAAACGATCACAAATTACAAACTGCTCATGGAACATTCTATCTTTTCAGCTTCTACAGCATGACTTATATATATGGAGTGATATCAGCCTTTTAACTTGAGACTGTAAGTTGAAGAAGTGGGCTGTGTAATCAAATGTTTTGGCAGCAGCTATCAACGTATCTGTAAGTCTGGAATGAAAATGCTTCCTCTTCAGTTGGAAGCTTGTTAGTCCACTCTCAAATTACGTTGTTGACGATTATATCTGGTCAACAATCATTGAGAATCTTGGGTAGACAACTGGTTTTATATTCATGTACTATTTTGATGATAGCTGTAATAGTTCTCCAAGTGTCAGCTCCATGCAAGAGAACTGTCTTGACAGTTGCAAGTATAAATACCAAGGTTGGACCTGATAGTTTCAAATTAATTAAGTATCGGATAGAGAGCAGCAATAAACATATTTTTGTTATATTCCAGTGATTAGTAAAATTGTATTTCTGACGTTTCTTGACTTAATGTAAGCCATTTCTTCAGACTTGATAAGTACACCTCGAAGTTAGTACTAAAGATTCTGACTTTGGTATTAGCTGACAGCTATTTTGAGTTTCATATGTTCTTCAACCGTAGGAATGTGGTTCCTGCTTTGCCAATCCCAGCCTCCACAACTGCATCGGATCCGCCTTGTTCCTCGATGACGCTTCCCAGGTATGCGAAAGATTCCGCCCCTTTTAGAGCTTCTCTATCGAGTGTGATTAGGTTAGTGGTCTCCGTGTTGCATTTAAAGATCTTGCTTTTTCATTTGTGTACGTTAAGTCCTACTGCTGCAGAGGCTGCTGCCACACCAGTTGTTTTCATCTGCATTTGTTGGTGTGTGTGGGATAGAAAGGCTGGGTCGTCTACC